CCCAAAACCCCAAAACCCCAAAACCCCAAAACCCCAAAACCCCATAAAAGGCAGGCCAGATTGATATATCAAATATTTAATGAGTAAAGGTAAGTGAGAATTCCACCAAACTTCTGTCGTTCTAGATCGTTCTAAGCCATGGTCTAACTTTGTTTATAGCTATTTTATCTTACAAATCAGCAAATCTGACACTTACAGACATTGAGTCAATTGATGATAAAATGTGGGTGACTGATCAAGTTATCAACTTTTTCTATGAGGTTTTGGGTGAAAGTTACAAAGACATCCCTAAAATCAGACTGATCGATCCTGCTTCGGTCTCATGAATTTACCACATGACAGAAATTGATGATCTTTTTGAAGTTTTTGGTCCTCTGAGATTGCACAAGGCAGATATGATCATTTGTCCAGTAAACGATAACACTTGTAAGTTTTGACCTTTTCAACAGGTTTTAATATTTTCAATAGCATTTTCTGGATTTTTCTGACCTTATATAGCTCCCTTAGAAACAGGAGGTACTCACTGGGCGTTGTTAGTGTATATCAGAGTGACAGACACATTCCACTACTTTGATAGCGCTGGAGAAGAAATCCCGACTCGACTTTCAGTAGCATCGAAACTGAGAGCATTGATCTCGAACAGAAAAGAATCATATTACATGAGAGAGTTAAGCTCAGAAGTGGAGACTTTTCGGTATACACCAAGGCAGGGGAACTCTTACGATTGTGGTATTTTTGTGATGGGAATCACCCTCTGTCTGCTAAATCTCTACAAGACGTGTCCTAGTGAACTTAGATACATCACTAGCTTGGATTTCGAACAATATATTAACCAGGATGAGGCTGATGACATGCGACAGTACATTCGAAACATGCTCTTGTTCTCTCTTTAATATCCGAAAATGGAATATTATTTAAGTAATTCATAACTTGGTGGATTTTCAATTTTTGGTTGAGGAAAAGGGGTTTTGGGGTTTTGGGGTTTTGGGGTTTTGGGGTTTTGGGG